TTTTTTTTTATATAACCAAGAAAATGATCAGGTGAGGTTGATTAATTTAACCACATATTAACATTTGCTGAGTTATCGACTGTGAAATATATATTATAGAGCAAAAAAGATCAATGAATGGGTAAACATAGATCTGCTTTTACGCTAGAGTTCAAATGTAGACACAAGCCCGGTTTACACTTGACTCAGAAAGGTACACATAGGCCCGGTTTACACGATAAGCAAAAAGGTGCATATAGGTCCAATTTATACTAGTGCGAAATAGGTAGACATGGGTCCAGTTTACAATAGATACAAAAAGGTAGGCATTTGTCCAGAAATCACTCAAGTGCAATCGAAACACAGATCGGGTTTACACTACAGACAAAAAGATACACTTAGATCCGCTTTAGACGATCGCCAATAAGGCACACATGGGTCCGGTTTGCACGAGAAACAAAAAGGTAGACATAAGTCCAGTTTATAATAGAGCCAAAAAGTAGACATACGACTGTTTTACACTCGTCCAAACGGTACACATACATCCGGTTTACACTACAGTAAAAAAGGTACACATAGGTCCGGTTTACACGAGAGTCAAAAAGTGACACATAGGTCGCGTTTAAAGTAGTCTTGAAGGTACACATAAGTCCATTTTACATTAGAGTCAAAAAGGTAAAAATGGGTCCAGTTTACATTAGAGTCAAAAAGGTTAAAAATGGTCCAGTCTACATTAGAGTCAAAAAGGTAAATATGGGTCCACTTTGCATTAGAGTCAAAAAGGTAAAAATAGGTTCAGTTTATATTAGAGTCAAAAAGGTAAAAATAGGTCCAGTTTATATTAGAGTCAAAAACGTAAAAAATAGGTCCAGTTTATATTAGAGTCAAAAAGGTAAAAATGGGTGCAGTTTACATTTGAGTCAAAAGGTTAAAAATAGGTCCAGTTTATATTAGAGTCAAAAAGGTAAAAATTGGTCCAGTTTACATTAGAATCAAAAAGGTTAAAAATAGGTCCAGTTTACATTAGAGTTAAAAAGGTAAAAATGGGTCCAGTTTACATTAGAGTCAAGAAGGTAAAAATGGGTCCAGTTTCCAATGGAGTAAACAGCTAGGCATTTTTTCAGTTTGCAATCGACTTAGACAGTTGGACATGGATCTTGTGTCCGCTCGAGCCAAAAAGGTTGATAAATGTTGGCTTTATTCCTGAGTCTCCAAGTATCCATCCTCCATATTTCCAAAATCTTCATTTGCTTCTTTCTGTTTCGTATTTTGCGTAATCTACTTTTTTCAAACACCCGGTGAGGATCGCGTTCGCAAATTAACATCCAGACAATTCAAGCACGGTCTTGGCTAGATACTCTGAGGAGAAGACGATTTATTGATGTTATTATAACCCGTCCTCTTGTAACGTGACGTTCTGGACTTGTTAGCAAAGACTTAGTCTGTTTCTATGTGCCGTGTCCCTTCAGGACGTAGGCGACACACAATTTTCTGTCCTTTGTAGCTCTTAATAAATTTTGTCTTTTTCTGATCTCTACCAAACCTTGTTCCGTCATCTATTTACTCAAGCTCGCTAGATAGGTTATGCATTGTTTTCTCCCACCCCACCCTTGCCATCAATCTGTCTTGTGAGTATCAAACTTTCCAAGCCCTTTTTCCTCGTTATGTGCTCTAGAAATTTCAAGTGTTTCTTATTTTAGTGTACTATTTTCCATTTTCTATAAAACTTCGACGGTGCTCACATGTCCAGTCCATGGTATTCTCAGTATCCTTCTGTAGAACCATAATTCTGTTGCTTGAAGTTTTTTCTTCCTCTGTGAGGAGATTGTCCAGTATTCATTAACATATAGGAGGATTGATATTACATAACAGTTTAGTATTTTTTTCTTTGTTTCTAACGATTTTTTCTGTTTCTTTACCCTTTGAGCTCAGACAACCACTTTACGGGTAGTAGAAAAAAATCACATAATACCCAGTAACCGGTTGAGCAGTGGTAGAGAAAAATGACGTAATGCCTAGTCACCGGTTGAACGGTGGTAGAGAAAAATGACTTAATGTTCAGTCACCGGTTGAACGGTGGTAGAGAAAATGACGTAATGCCCAGTCACCGGTTGAACGGTGGTAGAGAAAAATGACGTAATGCCCAGTCACCGGTTGGACAGTGGTAGAGAAAAATGACGTAATGCCCAGTCACCGGTTTAACAGTGGTAGAGAAAAATGACGTAATGCCCAGTCACCGGTTGAACGGTGGTAGAGAAAAATGACGTAATGCCCTGTTACCGGTTGAACGGTGGTAGAGAAAAATGACCTAATGCCCAGTCACCGGTTTAACAGTGGTAGAGAAAAATGACGTAATGCCCAGTCACCGGTTGAACGGTGGTAGAGAAAAATGACGTAATGCCCAGTCACCGGTTGAACGGTGGTAGAGAAAAATGACGTAATGCCCAGTCACCGGTTGAACGGTGGTATAGAAAAATAACGTAATGTCCAGTCACCGGTTGAACGGTGGTAGAGAAAAATGACGTAATACCCAGTCACCGGTTGAACAGTGGTGGAGAAAAATGACGTAATGCCCAGTCACCGGTTGAACAGTGGTAGAGAAAAATGACGTAATACCCAGTCACCGGTTTAAAAGTAGTAGAGATAAATGACGTAATGTCCAGTCATCGGTTGAACGGTGGTATAGAAAAATGACGTAATTCCCAGTCACCGGTTGAACGGTTGAAGAGAAAAATGCCCAGTCACCGGTTTAACAGTGGTAGAGAAAAATGGCGTAATTCCCAGTCACCGGTTAAACGGTTGAAGAGAAAATTGACTTAATGTCTAGTCACCGGTTCAACGGTGGTGGAGAAAAATGACGTAATGCCCAGTCACCGGTTGAACGGTGGTAGAGAAAAATGACGTAATGCCCAGTCTCCGGTTGAACAGTGGTAGAGAAAAATGACTTAATGCCAAGTTACCGGTTTAACGGTGGGTAAACACTTGTAACTATTTTTATATCTACCGTGAAACATTGCATCCTAATTATTTGCCAATTCAAACTCAGGGTCTCAGGCAGAAAGGTTGAAATTGTTCAGGAACGCAAGGCTCAAAGGGTTAACACTTTGCTTAGCTTTTTGAAGGCATATTTCACTATCCCACTTGGCCTTCGGATTTCAGTGTCGCACTTCCCGTCCTCTGTTAAAACACTTTACATTGTTGTAATTGGTTGATTTTTGTATCTCCAATTTGTAATTTGCATGTTGGGTTGTCCCTTTTGCAAACAACAATGTATTCCGTCTTCTGGCAATTACTGTTTAATATTTTCTTCTCGCTTTCCTTCATTAACTTCCATCCTGATAAAGCACTTCCCAGATATTTCAATTGAATTTGGTATCTCCATTTTGTAATTTGCATGTTGGGCTGTCCCTTTTGCTAACAACCATGTCTTCTTGCAATTGATGATTAGACCTTTCTTCACACTTTCCTTTACTACCTTCTGTAGGAGTTTTTGTAGTTTCCTTTCTTTGTCTGCTTTCAAAACTTTGTCACCTGGATAACTTATGTTGTTAGGAATTCTAATTCTCTCATTACCGCCTTACAGTGTACAGCTTGAAGAAGTCCGCTGAGAAGATACATTTTAAAAATCCACTAGCTTTCCTTTTCGGGATTGGAGAGAATTCATATTTCGACAATTTGTTTGCATGATTCCTTTCGAGAAAATAAAACCTTCATTTACGTTCTTCCGACTCCTCCCCAGCCGTCTTTAGTTTTTATTATAAATGTTTGGGTAAATTACAAAATCTTCTATAGAAGGTAGCGACGGAGAGTGTGAAGAAGGGACTAAGCATAAACTACAAGAAGACAGAATGCATGGTCATCAGTAAAAGGATGAGCCCGAGATATGATTTGCAGGTCAGGAACACTAGTATCAAACAGAAGTTTAAATAAAATAGCTTTCTCAAATATACTGTTATACTTATTTCCAGCATTGATGGAGGTTTCCTTCCTAACCTTTTTGTTTAGAGTAGTGTCATCAAGTCATTATTTTCACGTCGAGTCAGGTGTGTCATGTGTTTTAGTTGTTGCTGATGTGATTCCTGTTATTTGGCATAGTTATGAATCTGTAGAATCAGTCCACGAGTTTCGAAGAAATGTGGACTTCGTTAAGATATACATGTTTCATTTGCACAAAACCATTTTAATGATTGGTCTAAGGGGTTGTACACAGCTGACAGTTTAAACCAGTTGTTAAAGAAATTACAAAATCTCCTACAGAAGGTAGCGAAGGAGAGTCAGAAGCAAGGAATAAGCATAAACTACAAGAATACAGAATGCATGGTCATCAGTAAAGAGATAAGCCCGAAATGCGATTTCTAGGCCGGGAACGCTAGAATCAAGCAGACTCGGAAGTTTAATTATCTGGGAAGCGTTCTGAGAGAGGACGGTAAGTGCGACACTGAGATCCGTAGACGTATTGGGATGGCCAAGGACGCATTCCAAAAGCTGGGCACAGAATTACGAAATAAGATGTCTTTGGTAACAAAGAAAACAACACTGAGCTCTTACGTGACATCTGTCCTCCTTTACGGCAGCGAATGTTGGACGATTTCTTCAAAGATGAGGAAGAGACTCGAGACAACGATGTGGTTATACAGAAGGATGCTGAGGATATCATAAACCGAACATGTGAGCAACGATGAGGTCTTAGCTTACAAACAAGAAGGCTTATACTTAACATCAGAAAGAGGCAGCTGAAGTTTCTGGGACACATAATGAGGAAGGAGGGCCTGGAGAATCTGATACTCACAGGTCAAATAGAGGGAAAGAGAGAAAGAGGAAAACAGCGCGTAACATACCTGACAAGCTTGAGAAGGTGGATGACATAACGTGGTCTAGGGGAGGAAGCAGAGGGAAGGAACTTGTTGAGAGATTCAAGGGATAGGGAGAGGTGGAGAGCCATGATCGCTTACATCCTGAAAGAACATGGCACATAAAAAGCGGTTGGCTTGCAGATTAGTGTCTCCAAACTGTGAGTTAAAATGCACATATTTGAAATTGCACTGCGTCATGAAACGAGGCCATTTTCTTTCAGTTCACCGTCCCTAACTTACCTTCATCTATCTATCTCACCCCTCTTGTCACCATTTTTCCATTTGTCGTCTCTCTTTCCAACTCTCTCTCTCCGTTTATCTTTTATCGTTTCTTTCTACCTCTACTTCACAATTGCGTTCTTCTCCACTCCCTCTTCAACTCTCAATCTGTCCTTCAGTGTCTTTTCTCTCTCTCTCTCTCTCTCTCTCTCTCTCTCTTCTCCACTCCATCTTTTTCCTTCTTCAGTTTTCTTCACAGTCTATAAACTCCCCTCAGTCTCTATTCTTTCCCCCAGCTTTCTTTCTTTCCTTCTCCCTTCCCGCTTTGCCTTTCCCTTCCTCCCTTTTTCTTCGTATCACTTTCATAGTCTCTCTCCCACTCTTTCTCACTTTCGTTCTTCCATCTCTCTATCTCTCTCTTCGCTTCTCTCCTTCTCTTCGCGACCTCTATCCTCATTTCTCTCTCTCTCTCTTTTCCTCGCTCTTTCTCTATTCTCTCTTTACCCTTCTCCTCTTTTCATTTTTCTTCGACTGTCTTTTATTATCTTTCTCCCTCTCTTTTTCACTTTCTTTCTTCCCTCTCTCTATCTCCGTCTTCGCTTCTCTCCCCCTGTCCCTCTCTGTTTGCATTCCTCTCTATTCCCTCCTATTTGTTCTCTTCACACTTTCTTTATTCTCAATCATCTTCTTTCTCCATCTCTTCCCTTCTTCTCTCCTACGACGTCTCCTTCTCTTTCTCTTCTTTAATATCTTTCTTACTCCTACCTCTCCTTCTTCTTCTCTGTCCCTCTTTCCTTGGCTGTCTCAATTCTCTACCCTCTCTACCGTCACTTTCTCCATCTCCTTCACCCCTCCATCTCTTTCACCGTCTTTCTCCACAGTCTCTCTTTCATCCACTCAATCTTGTTAATCTAAATTGGGTTTTTCAAACGACACGCCATCAATCATGGCGGACAAGGAAATTCTGTCGTCACCTTTGTTAATATATTACTTATTTACAGAAGGAAGAGAACAGGGCAAGACTCAATGATGGCTATGTGGTTAACACACCAGGGAAACGAGACGACAAAGCAGACGGTTCAATCTATTCGTGAGTAGCGATACACAAATTAGGCGCAAACGATCATTTTTGCACAATGTTAACAAAATCTTAGAAGTGTATTTACTCAGCAAGAAAGATTGTCTTTTGATTTATTCGTTTTCTACGGCTTATCAAGGGTTACGGTCACATCACATTCCTGTACGACCATCAAAGTTAAGTAATGTTGAGTATGGTCAACCGCTTGCGAACACCAAATACAACTGATTATTAAAGAATAATAAATTTTCGTGGACTTTAACATCATTTTAGGGTCATTTTTTTTATTCAAATCTGTGAATTTGTTTTTTATCCATAGAGTTGGATGTGTTAAAATTCTTCAGCTTTTTAATTTTTTAAATTCTTCAGTTTTTTATTGGCATAATTTTCTACTAGAATTTTTCACCTTTATTGCATATGATCTATTATTGTACATAATTTTATAAGAACACTACCTTATGAAAACTGACATGTAGTAGAGTGTGGGGGTTCGTTTCATAGATTTGGGGGGAGGGGGAACAAGACCTTTGCACCACCCCTGGTATTCAATAAGGTCAAACTGGCAGCGGACCTAAAAAATGATTTACTTTCTGTTGTTAACTGGGCCAAGGAATGGCTTGTTAATTTTAACGTCTCCAAATAAAACTACACTCTTTTAATCGTGGGAGAGAATTCTTATTGTCTGATGCCAACCTCCAGGAAAATGAGTCATTGAGCCTTCTCGGACTAACGTTTTCAGCTGACATGAAGAATGGAATTGCTAGGCCTGCTGCTAGGAAAGTTGGTTCCCTGTGTTGTGCTAAACAATTTTTCTCTCCAGGATCTATCTTACATATTTATAAGTGTACCATATTTTGAATACTGCTGCCACGTCTGCTTTGGTGCTCCTGTTATATTATTACAGATTCTTGATAAAATCCAGGGAAAAATCTGAAATGTTATTGATCCTGACCTGGCATCTCGGCTTCAGTCATTTTCCTACCGCCGTAATGTAGCTTCCCTCTGCCTTTTCTATAAATACTTTCATGTTAATTGTTCTGAGGAACTTTCCTCTATGATATCTAGACTTTATGAATTTAAACACAGTAAGAGATTGGCAGAAAGGTCTCAATTTTACAGTTGAAATGACGACATGTAACCGTAAGTTCTATGCTAACAGTTTCCTCTATCACACTTCATGGAGCTCTATTCTGGCTTCTTGTTTCCCCGTCAACTTTGATTTTCATAAATTTAATATATCAATCATTATTTACTGTCTTCTTAATTCTTGTTTTTTAATTATTCCCTCTCCTTAATAGTGTTTTCTTTCGTATATTCTCTAACACTCCGTAACCACTTGGCTGTTGATGTATATACACAGAATTTTGTTGAACTGAGTGTCCTTGACTTTTATTAATTGTATCCCCTTGAATTTTCTGAATAAAACACCCTGGATTTTGCTTAATTGTAACCTTGGATTTTTTTATTATTTTGGACAGCTTATAATTTGTTTCCTGCAATTAAATCCTCAATCTGCTTTGCCTTATCCTTATTTACCGCAGCAGCTGGCCTGCCTCTCCGGAATCTGTCACTAAAGTCAGTTTCTCTTTTCTCTCTAGGATTGCTAATAAATCTACCATTCGTCCTTATTTTGAATATTGATGCCACATCTGCTCTGGTGTCCCTGTTATATTATTAGAGATTGTTCACCTACATTGCATATGATACATTATTGTAGATGATTAGGTTAGAATAAAATGTGTATTTTATATGAATACTACCTTATGAAAATTGAGTAGCGGTCCATATATTTGGTGGGGAACACAAAACCCGTTCACCGTTATAGAAGTTACAAATTAAACTAAGCATAACTTACTATTAAAGAATGAAAAATTTTCTTGGATTTTGACATCATTTTGGGGTCATTTTTTTTTGTTCAAATCTGTGAATTTGTTTTTTTATCCATAATATTGAATGTGTTAAAATTATTCAACTTTTTAACAAGAAAAATCTCAAGTTAATGTTAAAAACTGCCGCAAAGCATTGATTTATTTAAGATGGAATGATCTATTATGACATGTCTCTAATTTATATTTAAATACATTGTATTTATTTCCAATTTTTCTAGTTGAATTGTTCATCTACATCGCATATGATCCATTATTGTACATAATTAGGTTAGAATAAAATTTGTATTTTATAGGAATACTAGGTTATGAAAATTGAGATGTTGTTGAGTAGGAGTCCATAAATTCAGCGGGAGACACAAAACCCGCTCACCGGCCTTGCATATAATAAATAAAAGGTAAATGTGGAGAGCCATGATCACCTACACCATGAAGCTACGTGCAGTAGCAATTCACAGATAATAAAAAGCAATCTGTGGAGAGCCATGATTACCTACATCTTGAAGGTACGTGCTTTAGCAATTCACAGATAATAAAAGAGGAAGCTGTGGAGAGTCGTGATCACCTACATTCGGAAGGTACGTGCTTTAGCAATTCCCAGATAATAAAAAAGGAATCTGTGGAGAGCCACGATCACCTACATCCTGAAGGTACGTGCGTTAGCAATTCACAGATAATAAAAAGGAATTTGTGGAGAGCCATGACCACCTACATCCTAAAGGCAATTCTTTTTTAAGCATTTCACCCCAAGCAAGGCGGGAGTGCCACTAGCACGCAAGAGGTTACAGAGGATTGAGAACAAGAGTAAAGAGACGTGTTTGAGGAAAGGATACAGAGTAGGACGGGTATCAGTATCAAGGCATCAGAAGATGTCGATTGACATTACATTTGAATATTTGAAGATTATAGCTATCACGGAAGCAAGTAAGAGGAAGGGAGTTTCACAGGCGGGAAGTGCGAGATAAGAAGCTGTTGGAATAGAAGAAACGGCTACATTTAACTATTTCGACAGTGAAAGGGAGAGACCGAGATGCCGTTGCCGTGAAAATACTTGTAGAAAAGACTGAGGGAAACAACGGGACGTCTGTGAGAAAGTGACTGTAGACGAGATGCCAGGTCAGGACCCATCACATTGCATATCCGTCTCTGTATTTTGTTTCGTATATAATAAAAAAGGAATCTGTGGTGGCATGGATATTAAAGATTAGAAAACGTATCAGTTGCTATTTTAATGTAGACAATAAGAAGTGACTTTTCTAGTTTGAGATTATAATAGCTAAAGAAAATATTTCTTCCTTGTTAGAAGAAAAATGTTCATAATTACTTGGCTCCTACTGACCTCCAGAAATATAGATTTCGTAAACGTTCCGGACCTAACATATATTGCCTTTTCTTTTAATTTATTTTCGTGAAGAAAACAAAAAAATGTCTGCCTGACGAAGATGGCAACAATGACAAATGTAATTTTTTTTTTGTCTCGGTTGATGAACAGGTTCTGACTAATAATTACACTGAACAGCGTCATTATTTAATATGATATGAAAATAAGACACAGTACATCCCATCCCATATTAAAATAATTTTGAAAGCAATGTTATACAATGACAAAGTGTGTTATACTTGTAAAATAAATAAAACTCTGTGTTCACTTTTAAATTTGAATAAGGAAAAAATTATTCCTGAAATTTAAAAACAGGAAAATAATAAAGAAGTCTCTTGAAATAAAACTTTATTTGTAAGACATTACAGTGTATGTTTCAGTATGTTTGTGCGAAACCTGTTCTTGATGTGATTTGGTAATCTTATTAATATTAGGTCTTGTATGTTATATCTTGAGGAAGGCAAAAGATTTATGTGAAACCTGTTCTTAATGTGCTTTGGCAATCTTATTAATATTAGGTCTGATATGTTATGTCTTGAGGAAGGCAAAAGGTTTATGTGAAACCTGGGATTTATGTGCTTTGGCAATCTTATTAATATTAGGTCTTGTATGTTATGTCTTGAGGGAGGCAAAAGGTTTATGTGAAACCTGTTCTTGATGTGCTTTGGCAATCTTATTAATATTAGGTCTTGTATGTTATGTCTTGAGGAAGGCAAAAGGTTTATGTGAAACCTGTTCTCGATGTGCTTTGGCAATCTTATTAATATTAGGTCTTGTATGTTATGTCTTGAGGGAGGCAAAAGGTTTATGTGAAACCTGTTCTTGATGTGCTTTGGCAATCTTATTAATATTAGGTCTTGTATGTTATGTCTTGAGGAAGGCAAAAGGTTTATGTGAAACCTGTTCTCGATGTGCTTTGGCAATCTTATTAATATTAGGTCTTGTATGTTATGTCTTGAGGAAGGCAAAAGGTTTATGTGAAACCTGTTCTTGATGTGCTTTGACAATCTTATTAATATTAGGTCTTGTATGTTATGTCTTGAGGAAGGCAAAAGGTTTATGTGAAACCTGTTCTTGATGTGCTTTGACAACCTTATTAATATTAGGTCTTGTATGCTATGTCTTGAGGAAGGCAAAAGGTTTATGTGAAACCTGTTCTTGATGTGCTTTGACAATCTTATTAATATTAGGTCTGATATGTTATGTCTCGAGGAAGGCAAAAGGTTTATGTGAAACCTGGGATTTATGTGCTTTGGCAATCTTATTAATATTAGGTCTGATATGTTATGTCTCGAGGAAGGCAAAAGGTTTATGTGAAACCTGGGATTTATGTGCTTTGGCAATCTTATTAATATTAGGTCTGATATGTTATGTCTCGAGGAAGGCAAAAGGTTTATGTGAAACCTGGGATTTATGTGCTTTGGCAATCTTATTAATATTAGGTCTGATATGTTATGTCTCGAGGAAGGCAAAAGGTTTATGTGAAACCTGGGATTTATGTGCTTTGGCAATCTTATTAATATTAGGTCTGATATGTTATGTCTTGAGGAAGGCAATAGGTTTAT